AAATAAATGCCCATATTGACTGTAATACAGTTTTGAAGTACTCACGTTCTCGCCAGAGATGACGGTGCGCTGGCAGGCCGAGGTGTTGTGCGCGCAGCGGTTCTCGTACACGCACCACGAGCACGCCCACTGCGAGCGCACGCAGTCCGAGCACGTCGAGTGGCGCGAGCAGTCGTAGTAGGCGAAGTGGCGCGACACGAAGTCCTTGTTGGTCTCGGACGAGCGCACGGCCAGCGGCACGAGCACGTGGTCGCGGCCCTCGGGGATGGCGGGCCGCGAGGCGACGCCCGGCGTCGGGCACGACAGCCCCAGCGGCGTCACGGCGGCGTCGATGGGGTCGGCGTCGCCGAACACGCACTTGTACTTGGCGAGCGGCGGCAGCTCGGGCAGCGTGCGGATGGTCAGCTGCACCTGTAGCGGACAAACAGAGCGAGGGCAGTTAGTACGGAGGTCACGGCAAACATGGGGGTGAGGACCTCGGCATCGGAGAGGGCGAGGACCTCGTCGTCTGTTCGGGAGGAGGGCATCGGCGAGGACTTCGGCGCCTGGCAAGGAGAGGGACCTGGGAGAGGACCTCCGACGCCAGGCGGGGGAAGGAGGACCTCGTCAAAGATCTCGGCGAGGGCCTCGACGAGGTACTCGCGGCGCTTAGCGGGAAAGGGGACTTCGGCGAGGACCTCGGGGTCTGGCGGGTAGGCCCGCCCATCCGGCGCGCGTGCCTCGCGCGGCGGGCCGCGTAGGCCCGGGCCGAGACTCCAGCCCTGGGCTTAACGATCCCTCTCCTCGCACCTGCCAACTTGGAGCTGGAGAGGGAGCGGGTGGGGGATGGAGGGGCACGGCCTGACAAAAGGATTGCAACTCACTTTCATCACGGCCCCGGAGGGAGGGGTTGTGGGAGTGCAAACGAGCGAGAGTGAGAGAGAAAAAACTGGGGGGGGGGGGACACACAGAGGGGGGTTGAACTGCGCGTACCAGAGAAAGAGAGAAGGGAGGCACGAGATTATCGCGAGGCCCGCCTCGCCTCGCCCCGTGCGTCATCGTCTGCTCTGCTACGCTACGCACATTTCACTTCATCCACTCGCCGCACCGGGGAGCCTGCGCCACCTTTCTCTCCATCGCCCTGAAGTCACCACGCTCCCTTCACACTTTCCCTTCCTTATCACACTCTCTTTTTACAAGACTTACTTTTCCGCGTCCCCTGCTGCTCTCCCTACCTGCTCCCCCCCCCTTTTACCTCCTCCCTCTCTCTTTCTCTCGCTTTGTTTTCGGGTGTCCTGAAACATGGAAAGTGGCAAAAGGGGTCGGTCTCCGTGCCGACAGAGGACTACTCCATTTTCCTCCTCCCCTACCCGCCGTTTCCTTCAGGTGTCTATGTCATCCCCCATTCGCATGCCGTTTCTCGCACCACGGGCCAAGTAGATCAGTTTAAATAAAAACATATTAAGAACTAAATAAATCAGACGGACCGAGACCTCTGACCACTGCGATGTATGGTACGCAATCGACCATTATCGGAAGTCACGGGCGGAAGCTGCAGCTACTGCAGGCAAGTGCGTCAAGTGAGCGGGGCGAGCACTACACCGGTCCAGGGTGGCCCACCACCACAGACCAGGTAAAGCAGGCGAGTACTACACCGGTCCGGGGTGGCGCACCACAGACCAAGCAGGCGAGCGCACGGCGGGCACCACGGCGCGCCGTGGTCAGTGACGATAGGCACACCCGCGCGCACGCCTGCACGCCTCCACGCCGGCACGGTGCGGTAGGTGAAGAGGAAATGGTGCGCATTGTCTCCCTTTGCCACAAGGGCCATAAGATGGGCAAGGGGATGATGACGACGGAGGAAATGGGGATGACGACGAAGAAGAAGATGAGGAGCAGCACAACGTGTTGCTATGCCAGCAGCACCGCCTGCTCGCCCTACGGCGGCCCGGAGCCACCGCCGCCACGGCTAATCCCCGGCAGCTACCTCACTCCCCTCCCTAAAAAGTGAAGCTGCTTTACAACAAACACGGGGCGCGAAACAAGGGGGGTCCTCCGCCTCTATGTGATGAGAGAGAGAAGGAGAGAGAGATAGAGATAGTCCCTCTGCGGGAACCATGGCGACGCGGTGCGCGAGCCAGTCAGCCTCCGGGCGCCACTCCAGTTAGATTGTGGTGGCTGGAGCCCTGGAGCCTAGCCCTGCCCGGCCCTGCCGGAGCCTCCAGGGCGGCGGGGCGGGGCGTGGCGCGCACACCGCCGTGTTTTCCATTCCAGTCTACCGCGCATACACGTCGCACACTACCACCACCACCGCCTCTCTCTCTCTCTCTCTCTCTCTCTCTCTCTCTCTCTCGCACGGCAACACACGAGGGGCGGGGATGGAGAGACGTAGGGGTTGAGCGCAATCCCGAACAGGGGAAAACACTTACGCGTGTTGGGCTCGCCGGCCGAAAGGTACAACGAGCCTCACCACATTAATATATGGAAAGCGCCTGGAAAAAAGTGAGAGAGTGAGAGAGAATGAGAGAGAATGAGAGAGAAAGGTGGGAAGGGATAGAAG